TCGCTTTTTATTAATTAGAGACCCAAATAAAACAAATATTTGTGTTTTTCAAATAAATTTTCTTTAGTCTCTTTTATAATAAATGAATTTATCTATTTCTAAGTAAAAATTGAAAGTGTCTGTAGAAGTAATTTTTTAAAATATCCTTTTTTCTTGATAAAGTTTTAATACAGTACTTATTATTATAATCTAGACGTGTTAATTTTTAAATATACTTGTATATTGGGCCACGAGTATATATTATATATACTTGTGGCCCAAAACTCCTTGACTTCTTCCAAATGCGGCCCAGAAAAACAAAAAGGTTGGACACCCCTGCTGTAAATACTTTCAATTTCAATAGGAATGCGTGATGATTCACTTGGTAGTGATGAAATGTCTTTCTGGGTTAATATAATCAAAATATATTTTATTTAAAGTGTTATTTAGAGGCAAGAGTCTGAGTTAGATCTTCTGAAATTCTATGAGTTGAAGTCAGGTACTTTGATTTAAACAGGACTGAAGAGTTGGTGAAGAATGTGAATTTACATATAAAAATATGTTTTCATATGCTTTTAAGTATGATTATAAATGATTATCTTAAGTTTTTTCTGTTGTGCAATTTTCCAAACACCATTAAGTGTAAAACAAATGTATTACATAGAATTTTTTTTTATAAATGTATTACATAGAATTTTTTTTTATTATTTTAGTTGTATTATTCAATTTAGATATTCTTTTGATTCTCAACTTAAAATATAAATTTAAACAATTTTTTATGTTATTTAACTTATATTCATTTAATAGGATAAAGACTATGGACTTTATCAATATATAATTATATTAGAGCAAAATATATTATTATTACTGTAATTCTAATATATATTGAGTCTAACATATTTGAGGAATAAAATTTCCTATTTTATCAAGAAGGCTTTCTTATCCTAATACAAATACAAACTAATAAATCATTCTGTATCTGTAACAATACATAGGTTAATCAACAAAATTATTGAATGCCACTTAAATAATTTATCGCTTAATGAAGCTGAAGAAAGTTTGCAATCATTGATGACCACAAACATTTTAATATGTTTTCAACTATATTTTGTGCACTGTAATTGCTCATATCTAAGTTATCTTGATTCATAAGCATACATTTGTTTAAATAAAATTTTCAGTTGCAAATCAATATTATATTTGTCAGTATTAAATAATATAAATATCTAAATTCATTTTTCTTTGTTATCTTTCAGATAGAGAATATATAAATGGTAGAAAATATATCCTATTTACTTGAATCTAGGGCATACCTTAATTTGTACTTGTTTGCCCACAATTTTTTTTAAGTAGACAACTCAAGACACTTTAATGGATTACAGATATAAATTTATTGCAAGTAAAGTAGGCTATATTTCATTGTCTTCTGTGGTATCAAAATCTCTTCACTTGCTGTGTTAGGCTCATCTGAATCATCATTAATGTTGTTTTAGTCATGTTCTGAGTATTATTTTTAGTTACTATAAACATTTAGTTTTAGTTTACTAAAACTATACTAAGCAGAACTGAATTCAATGTTCACATCTTTCCCACATGCAATCACTTGATGCCATTTAAAGCATCAGAAATGCAACATTAAATGAAAGTGTGTTGCACAACTTTTTCTGGGAGTTTTTGTAATAGACTAATGAAATTGAGCTATTGACATCTTACATATTTTTTTGCTACAGATATTGGTCTAATAAAATCATTAAAATGACACAATGGAAGTGGTGTCAGAGAAATAGGATGTTTGGCACTAGAGGTCATTAGTTATGACATACTACATTGAATCTAAGATGCACACTATTTTCAGAAATACAAAAATCTTTAACTTTCATATCATAAGATCTATTTCTACTTAAGTTTATTTTTAAATTATTTATTGTTTCTATAAAGTTTTATTTTAAGTTAAAATTAATTTTTACTTTCATTAATTAGGAATATGTAAGGGCTATTTATCAAATGCCTGAAGAAGATAGTCCTCAATACTTTGGACTACCAGCAAACATTGAACGATCAATTCAAAGGATATCTAGTAATCAAGTTATACAACAATTAAAATTGTTGATGAGACCATCAGAAGTGGAAAATACATTTGATATTAATCGTTGGAATACTGAATTATCTCCCATTTTGAATTTATGGAAGAAACTTAATCAGGTAACAAATTCAATCTTTGGAATTAATTATTATAAATGCCAATATCTTTATAAGTAAATAGATATTACATTTTTAACTATGAATTTAATATATGTTTTGGTTATATATAATATTACTAATTAGAATTGTTATTGAACTTAAATATAAGGCAGTTAACAGATAGAGCATTCAATAAAGAAGATTCACTGCTCTATCATAAATGTTTCTTAATTTTGATATCATTTTATTGAAAAATATAATGTGCATGTTCTTATTCTTAACTTTCTTTCTTAGGGTGCTCAACTTATACAACTAAATGTAAAACCACCAACTGAACATGATGGAAAATATTCCCCATTGAATTCTTTTGTCCAGTTAGAATATTACAATGGAATTCAACTAGTGCAGTTCATTCATGCTTCATTAGCAGGACTTAGCAAAGTTATTAGAGGAACTCTTTTGCTCACAAAAGAAATTCAGCAATTGGCTGCATCACTATTATGTCATGAGGTTGTAATGTAAATTTTTATTGATTCAAATGAAATTTTTTAAAATATTGTTTTATGCATTATGTTAGATTTACATGTTTAGAAATTTGGTTAGTTTGAAATATGGCTAATTTGTAATTCAAAGTGAAAGTTTTGTCCAAACCGTGATATGCATATGTTAAATCCTTCATTTAGATCAAATTGCTGGTATAATAGAACAATAGATAAAGAAAAACTCTAATCTGGTCAATAATGCTTTGCTTTCACAGTAACACATTTAGACTAGTCTCTTTCTTTCTCTTTCTCTCATTATAAAATATAGCTGGTTTCAAGGATTGCAAGATTGGGTTACAAGTAGCAGATTGAGATATTTCTAAGGCTCTACTACATTTTGGTGACTTATTTTTTGGGTCACTTTAAAAATAATTTGGACTACATTTCAAGGAATTCTGCTTTACTTTTTATAAAGTCTAGCTGGCAACCTGTGAGGTTCTCACTGGACACATACTACTTACCTGCAGTTTATTTATATTATTATTATTAATAATTAATTATTATTACTTCTCTATATGTAGATGTATTCTGTTTGCTTAATAAATTACATCAGTTACATGGCATTTGACATATTGTACAGAAATATGTAATTCTCATATAATTCAAAACTCAATAATTTGAAAAGTCATGATTATTTCATCCCTTGAATTTTGAACTAACAAGATTTTCTGTATATTACTTACATTTTTATACTTCTCAATTACAATTTTAAACTGATATATTTAAAATACAAATATACTTTAGAACACTTTAAAAATTCATGTAGTAGTTTTTATTTCTAGAGTTTTCTTTTTTTATATCAAATTTCAATCTGATGTTCCAAAATGCATTTTAGTTAATATTTATGGTAATAATGGTAATTTTCAATGATATAATTTTGTTGTAAAAAAATTTAAATAGATTAGTTTTAAATATTTGGTTGCTTGTGTATAAGAAGCCCTAATATAATGTTTGCAACTGTTTTGTTTAAGAAAAAATGAATGTGATAAACAATAAACAAACATCGCTAAACCCGATATATAACATAACTAAACACCAACAATATGCCGAAAATCTATCGGGCTAGTATTATGCTAATTACTAAATGAATTATGTAATCAATTTGGCACTAGAGGTAGGCGTTAGGCGCCATCTCTTATTAATATTAATAAGAGATGGCGCCTAACACCTACCTCTAGTGCCAAATTGATTACATAATTCATTTAGTAATTAGCCTAATACTAGCCCGATAGATTTTCGGCATATCGTTGGTGTTTAGTGATAAACAATATCATTTATACATATTCAAATTAACAGCATGGAATGGCATTTAAATTTGACATTTAAATTTGAAATTATAGTTTCATATATATTTATGTATTAAAATAACAGATTATTTTTATTGTATAGTAGACTCTTATTAATTCAAACTCAGAGGGATGGCCTTAAACAGTTTGAATTAAAAAGACCATTTCTGGATGCTACAGGACAAAGAGAAAATTATTTTAACACATTAACACCACATGGCAAGCATAATAACATTTAATCAATGAGAAAACACAAGGTATAGTAGTGCATTCAATGAATAAAGAAAAAAAATCATTGTAAAGTCGACAAGCAAGCACCACAGGGTGAGCAAAAACAGTCCTAATCATGATTTGAAATGAATAAAAATAACTATATTTCTAAGAATTTTTAAGAAGTAAAATATAGAATACAGTCTCCAGGCTAAACTACTCAATCAGTACCAATTCCAAGGTAATGAATTATGACATTAAACAGTTAAAGTAAAATAGTCTTTTTATTGTTTTCTTCATATAGATACTGATGATGTTGAAAATATGTCAATCATGATTAAGTTAAAGAATACTTCAGTGTACTAAAATATGTAAATAATATAAATTTAAATAGTGGAATGTCATTAGATGCATGCTGGATAGTTTTGTATGGTATAAAAGCACCAAGGTAAAACAAGCATTGTTTTACATTGGTGCTTTACATTCCACTGATGAGGCAGGAGAAAGAAGATAAAATGCATATGGATAAGAAAAAGTAAGATAGTCTTTTTATTGTTAACTGTTTAATGTCATAATTCGTTACCTCAGAATTGATGCCATTGAGTGTTTTAGCTCAGAGACTATATTCTATATTTTATCTTTTAAAAATTTTTATAAATATTTAGTTAAAATGAATAAAAATAACTATATAACTGATCCCATTGAATAATTTACTATTAAATTTTAAATAATGATTTGAAATGTATTAAAAAATTAAATTAATTAAAATTGTTAAATTTGATCTTTAAATTTAAAAATGGGAAGATGTTAATCTACTAACATGTGCCCTTGATTCAAATAAACAGGTAGTGGCACAACTTCAAATAAATGAGAGAATTTTACATTAATTTAAATAGGAATCAGACTGGGACTAGTGTCCAGTTTAAATTGAAAGAATATTTGAATTATCCAAGTTTGAATTAATGAGTCTATTATATGTATCAAAGCTAAATGTTTTATGATAATTTTTAACTGATATTTCAGTAACTTATTATTCTGCATATTTTTGTCTTTTCTTTCATATCATACATTTACAATAAAATTTCTAAAAAATATAATGGTCTTTTTAAATTATATTATAAGAATTCAGAGAAACTTTTCATTTGTGTGATCGGGGAAGTGTTAAACTTGGCAGAAAAATATAGAATTTAAAAGTATTGAATGTTTAATGTAATTTTATTTATATCATAACAAAATTTTATTGGAATGACAAATAATGAATGCTTCTAATCTAGATAATATTTGTTTTAGCTATTTCCATTTTATTGTAAAATTAAAATTATTAGTGTAAAATTTTAAATAAAATTTTATTATATTTTTCAAATTGAAATTATATAAAGCAAATTTAATATTTTCAATATTAAACTATTTAGACACCTAGCTCCTGGCAAAAGAAATGGGATGGTCCAGAAGATCCTTTACATTATTTAAGAGGTGTTATGAGCAGAGCTTTAGCAATTCAAAAATGGTTAAAGTTAGCTGAAACTGGATCTTTAATTAATGAAACATTAGATTTATCTGAACTTTTTCATCCAGACACATTCCTCAATGCATTTCGACAAGAAACTGCTCGGTAAGTTAGGTATTAATTTTTTCTTTTTATACATTAATGAAAAATAATAAGTTTGTAGTATTGTCAAAATAATATAACTAGGTACTTTTTAAGAAAATGAAACTTAGATCAATGGCTTAGATTTTTCTGTTTTGGCTTCACTCAAAAACACAAATGTGGTGACCTGCTTCTAACATTCTGTCTAAAGCAGCTTAAATCATGCAGATTCTGGGGAGAATAAGCATGTCCAATGCCAAAACTGACAAAAACATCAAGAAGCATTTAAAGCACATGTGGCTACAGTCCATGCATGTTTAAACATTTGTCATAGAGATCAATGTAAATTGACAGCAATTGGAAACTCAATTGGCAAGTAGCACATAGCCAAGTTATTTGGATGAGTAGACTGTTTAAAGAAATAGTGAAACTGAAATGTGTGCCAATTTTGCAAGTAGATAATCATGCAGCTGTCAAACATGCACAGAATCCAGAGTTCCATCATTGCACAAAACACAGACCTAAAGTATTTTTTTCATTCATGAAAAACTGAGTTAGGGAAGATTGGATATCAAACAAGTCCCAACAGAAAGATAGGTTGCAGATCTCATGGCTAAGCCACTTGAGAAGTTGCACTTATTATGTTGTGCAGTGAATTAGGACTTTTTTGAAAGTGTTAATTGTTAACCCTGATTGACAAGGGAAAGTGTTGAAGGTATGTCAATCATGATTATCAGTATCTATAGGGAAAAAAAAAGAAATTCAAGATTTATTGTGTGAGAGTAGCTCAATGGGAGTGCACTCTGTATTCCATTCTACCTCTGGCAGGAAAAAACAAAGGTATACAGAGAGTACCTATTCTTTGTACTTCCATTCTGGTAGGAATAGATTTGGTTCCTTTTTTATAAAATATATTCAGTAAATAATAATAATAATAATTGGAAAGCAAGAGTTTCTCAATGTAAGTTTAATATGAACAACATTTCATTTTTTTACAAGAATTAAACAGATTAATTTATAAGAACTGCTCAAAATGTCATTTATGGATGCAGACATCTATTACTTATAAAAATAACTGGAGCCCAATATGTGTTTTAAAACAAGTTCAATTTGCATGTTTTCAAAAAACATTTTTTACATTTAAAATAAAGCTTCAGTTTGGTAATTCATATTGGTATTACAGAAGTGGAAACAAACAATGTATCTTTTTGGCAGGCCAGACTTTGAAAACAAAGCAAATTTGAAAAATATTCATAGAGGATTTTAAATTTATTTTTGACCCTAGAATCTCTCTTTAAAATACCAGCATGGTGTTTCATTACACCTTTATATTAGGATTCCATGATACAGTGTGTATGTATACTATATATGATAACATGATTGACCATATTGACATTCTACAGATGATGAAAGGATACTTCAGCTGAGTTTCAATTCAATAGAATGATTTTGTGCAAGTTTCATTTTCATTCAATTTTGTGAGAAAACAGTTTTTAGTGGATTTCTATTAATAATTCATTAAACTATATAAGCCATTGTTTGATATCATGTTAATATGAGATTACAAATTTGTGATTGAATTGTTGTTGAATTGTGTGAGTAGATTTTTCAAATATCCAATTTACCAATAAAAGGGAAGGATAATTGCTAGAAATGAGACTCAAACTATATTTTCAGCAATTTTCACTCCTTTTTATTGTTCAAAGATGGTTCATTTAAAAAGATAAATACTATTTTAGATTCAACCATCAAATTTTATATTTACTTGATATAGAAAGTCTCACAAATGTTCAGATAATTGATTCTATCCATATTATATTGAAAAATGGTGAATTTTGTTTCTGTTGATATAAAACAAATTTTGTATATCAACAAACTCTCTTCCTAATCTATCTGCATAAAAATTATAAACTTCTTCATAATTTTGTTTTTTATTTTTAGAGAAATAAAACAGTCCATGGATTATTTAAAATTTGTCAGCAATTGGAATGGACCTGTTTCTGGTTCAAAAATGTGTCTAAAAATAACAGGATTACAACTGGTGGGATGTTTATTTGATGGAATTCATTTGACTGATTGTAAGCGTGATTCACCGAGCATTACTGCAGTACCACCATGTTTTGTTGCATGGATACCTAAGGTAAAAAATATAGCAATAAAAATAAATATAATTAATTTCCAAAACTAATTTAACATTTTAAATACAGTAAACTCTAAATATAATGGACCCTCAGGAACCAGCTATCCATAATTTCATTATATTGGACCAAATCAGTCATTATATCATTTTAATAGACTTGTCCATTATATATTCTAAAACTGACATCTGCTATGGATTCTTTTCTACTACTGTATTAATATTAAATGATTATGATTATGAACATGTTAATGGTAACCATCTCTTAATTTAAAATTAAATGTAGTACTGTTGATTTTAAGCACAAACAATTAAAACTGAAAATTAACAATCTTTGAACAATGAAGCACAGCCATATCCTTTGATATAATATAGTAAAGTAAAAACGGGTGAGAAGCACAAAATAAGAAACAAGGATAAAAGAAAAAAATAACATAGGCACAGTATACTGAGTGTGCATAAAAATATACAAAGTACAGGTAACTCCCGTATAACACGATAGTTACGTTCCAAAAAAATGCCGTGTTATGTGAATCCGTGTTATGCGAAACAAACAACTAGTACGAAAAGGAGGGTTAGGTTCCAAAAATTAAAAAACATGCTATTATATTTTCATAATTAAGATAAGAAAATTTTAATAAAGATATTTAAGTGGTACATATTAATATAAATTAAATAATGTTTTCTTCGTTATCACTAAAAGCACTATTAACCAAGGATAACTTGTCAAAAAGAAAACGGCAAGTTATCCTTATCCTCTGAGCATTTTTCTGCATTATCTTCAGATCCATGCTTTACCTTTTGCAAAATGTACGTAATTTTAGATAGCTTGCTTCTAGTTAAAAGATCTTTATAAATTTCCTCATATGGTGCTAAGCACTTATGAAGAATAAAGCAAGTATGAAAGAAGGGAAAAACATCTGGCAACATCAGAAGCAGAAGCGTCGTGATCTGGCAATGTTGAAACAAGTTTCAAGAAGGACCATGTGTATCGACAAAAGGCGAGAAAAGAAAATTTACATACTTAAGTACTAATAGTTCACGAAAATAATAATTTTCGTGAACTATTATTACTTAAGTATGTAAAAATTTATTACATTTCATGTTGTATGAGGGTTTTACCCAATTTTCGAACCGTGTCAGAGTAAATCCGTGCTATAACAGTACCGTGTTATACGGGGGTGGTACCAATTCTCGAACCATGTTAGAGTGAATCCGTGCTATAGAAGTGCTGTGCTATATGGGGGTTACCTGTAGTTTTAATTCTGGATAAAAACAAACAAAAACTTATCTTTGTCTGTATTTCTGGTTTTGATCCTGCTTTTATCCAGTATGACAATGAAGCAATATTATGAAAAACCCAGTCAGGAGCATTTTCACAAACATAAACTTGCTTAGCAATTAGAAAATTACTTACAACCACCTTTTTAAATCAGTAAGCTTTAATTCTTCAAATGAAAATGATTTTCTTCAGGCTTATTTTTCATTTTGAAGTTTTTGATCATAACAGAAAAATATATGTAAAATGTAGAATTATCAAATGTTTGGAATTCCACATTTTATTGAATATATTTATCTCCTGCATATTAGATATTTAAAATTATTAAAACTAGCTGATCAGTCTTATACTGTAATATATTATATAAACTCAATTATCAAATTAATAAGCTGGTTTATTCAATAACTTTACACTCATTAATATATTATTTTAGAAACATAAAAATAGTCAAAAACACTAACAGCTTTTATCATAAAAAGAAATTTGTTAGAATCAAGTTATTGTTTGGAGCTTAATTTAATTAAACAATTTTTTAAAATAAGATTAATGAAATTATTAAAAAATTGCAATCATGAATAATGTTTTCACAAATTTTTGATTGATTTACTGTAACGTATATTTCTTTCACTGAATCCTTCTTGAGATGAAACAGAAGATACAAGCTTTTTTTTCCATATTTCAGCAACAGTTTGTTTATTCAATTTATCTGTATTTATCTATATTTATGTTTATTCAATTTATCCTTTATCTTGAGCAAAATCAGTTTGACTTGCCATCACTGATTTCTTCTATTATAGCGATCTTTTCATTTAAAATTATTACTATGTATTTTTTGTTGGTGTGTTTTCCAAGACTTCGCTATACTGCTTTAACTTCATTTGCTGCAGTGCAACAGACAAGTCCGTAAATGTGAACAGGAAGTGGCCCTAGGGGACTGCTGCATTGGTCCATAATATCACACAAATTTTTATATTGTAAACTGTTGTGTTCAACCAAACAATTAACAACAATCCATAACAATTGAGAGTTTACTATATTTCAAATAGTTGCATGTTAGAAAAGAAATATATAATAATTGAAATTATTAATGATAATTTATATAATTTTTGTTTTAATCATTTCAAGAAATAAAGATATTACTAAGTTTAACAATAACATCTTAATTATGAGCATAAATATTTTACTGTTAACATTTTCAACTTAATTTATGGATCATCTTCAGGTTACATCAAAGAATAAAAGAAACATTTTTGACTGAACATATTACAAATGCTTGAATAGGATATTTGATCTTTAAATTATTATTTATTTTTTCACGAAGAAAGTTGAAAATGTTAATTTTAAGCATAATTGTTTCACTGTTAAAGTATTATAATGTTAGATCATATGAAATGATTAAAAATAATAAATAGATTTAAATATTCTGTTGAAAAGATTTAACAATTTACAATCTTTCAAATAATATGCCTGCATGCGTGTGTGTGTGTGAGGATGGAGATTTTTTGCACCAGATGATTATTTGTTGTGTTAGAGGAAACCTGGCGCCAATAATCTTGCAACATGACAACACTTGTCCTCACACCTAGCTCGCAACTGGAGAGGTTCTGCAAAACCGGAAGTTTGAACTGATTCCATGCCCTCCTTATTCCCCTGATCTTGTGCCTTGCGATTTTTATTTTTTTTTCCTCTACTCAAGAGCAACCTCAAGGATAATCATTACACCTCAGACGATGAGGTGAAGGCAGCTGTCAAGTCCTGGATTCGAGAAAAGTCAGAAGAATTTTTCAGTGACAGAATGAAAAAACTTGTTACATGTTGGGAGAAATGTGTTAGCCTTACTGGTGACTATGTTGAAAAATAAATATATGATTCTGAAGCTTAAGAATTGTACTTTAATATACTTTTTGCCCGATCTTGCTGTTTGTTTTTGTTCGTGTTCTACAAGCATGTGAGCATTACTTTTCAGCCTACCCTTGTACAAGTATTTGTTCTTTGTGATTGATGCTTTGATGAACCACTGAATACTGTGGAGGTAATCAATTGTCTGGGACACAGCAAAAGATTTTTGGAAATCCATATTGCATTGTTACCAATAAAGGAGGATCCTTCAGATCTGATGCCTTTTAAGGAGTATTGCACTAAAGGGATGAGCACCTGTCAATCATCACTGCAATTCCATGGGGAAATGGACAAGTGGAATGAATCAACAGTGTTATTGTTCCTGTGTTAACAAAAGCTTTGCTAGATAAACTTGAACATTGGTACAATCATGTTTACAAGATCCAGATAAGTCTCAATAGCATGTACTGTACCAGAGAAGTATTGAAATGACAACGTTTGAGCCTTATTTTGATATTAGGATGCCAGTATTGCCTCAATTATCAAGCGAGAAGTCATGCAACTCTACAATGAATAGCAAGATCAGTTGCAAACGAAAATATCCTAAAGATTCAAGACAAAACTTGATGAGCTCACAATAAAAAGTGCAGACCAGTCACACAATATTGTAAAGGGATCTGGTTGCCATCAAAAGGACTCAACTGGAACCATGACAAAAGGTGACACTAAAATTCATGGAACTCTATGAAGTATCAAAGGTCAAGAGCCATGAGAGATATGAAGTCTTAAAGGTTGGGACAGGACAGACATCATCGGCTACTGATTTTATGAAGCTGTATCCCTATGGCCATTCATAAATATATATATATATATAATATATACACTGAAATTGAAGTTTTATTATTGATTTATTTTTTACTTCTAAGTAATTTTAAAAATGCTCTTCAATGAGTTATATAAAGATAAGATTTGATCTCAAATTGTTATTACAAGGAGTATTTTCAGTTTAAAATTCAAACAAACAAATTTAATTGTAAATATAATAAAATGAAGTTTAAAATATTATATAGAAACTAGTCTTATTAAGTAAGAATAAAAAGAATAACGCTAGGTTTCTTCAAGACTTTCAACTCAAATTTTCCCCTTTTTCTATTTTTGCAGAAGTGAAAAAAAAAAAAACATTTCTGCAAGAGATAAAATATTCTCACAAATTTGATTCTAGATATAAACAATTATTAAGGAAGTTTGTTGAAAGAAAGAAAGAAATTTATAAACATTAAAAATCAGAACTAAAATTATTAGGACAATAATATACTTGTCTTTAAAATTTTCTTCGTTTATAGAGCAGTTGATAGCAAAGTAATCAAATGAAGATAATTCTCATTTATGGCTGTATTGACTTTATGAGTTGGAAAATGAACTTTAAAATTCTAAGTGTCTTCTTATGTACCAAAAGTCAAAAAGATCTGTCTGGTTTGTGTTTTGACTTCAGAGACTAAATAGGAACAATGTATGTATTGCCATTAATAGTCAAATTGCTAATTACTGTCTGATGAATTTTTTCTCATTATGTAATCATCAGATTTACATAATGAGAAAATTCACATACCATCCTAAACCCTCTTTTTTATTATCAGAAATTGATTTCTAGAAATTTCAATCTATTAGCCTTGTTGTAATGGGATTAATGATACAAGTTATAATTACAGAACAGTAAGTTTAAGAAGAAAAAAGTTTTTCTTCTTAAACTTGTAAAAATAATATTTTAATTCATACTCTGTGCACATTCTGTTAGTCTATTAATGAAATTTCATGCATTTACTTCTTAATTTTGTCTTTTCAAAAGACCTTAAACACAATGTACAGATAAAAGGCATTAAAAATAATCACATAACCTAAAAGTCAGAGAATAAAGTCATCAAAAATGTAAGAGTTGCTCTCTTGCTTTGACAAAGGAGTTCATTTCTTAATTGTACTTACTGACACAAGAACTCTCACAAGATCACTATATTTAGTAATTTCCTCTAGGTTCAAATATACCAAATATAAGCACATCTCCACAATCCTACCTAGGTCTTCTCCTCAAATAAACTCATTTCCTCTATCCAAGTCCCTCTCTTGAACCAATCTACACCAGCTCTTTTCCTTACCTCATTTCTCACTTTTAGAAGCCAAGTCTAATGACATACTTGCCAACCTTTAGAATGGGGAATGGCTGGGACATTGATAGAAAAATGCTGATAGCATAAAAAGCAAGAAAATTCTTTATTAACATTGATATGGCACAATGCTTATATTAAATACCTTTAATAAACAAAATGAACTGTTATCTCTGCTGCATATAATATCTTATAAAGCTATTGCCATAAACACTGTTAAGAGTATGGCAATAGCTTTATACTTTCACAATTTAAGAAAAGTCAAATATTTTACAGGACATATCATAAATCTACACCTATATTTATGATGTGTTCATCTTGATGCATCATGAATCTTGATATTGCATGATGAGTGTCTCCTGTTATTAACAAAGCAAAACATTGCAGCTTTGTGCAATGTTTTGCTTTGTTAATAATTTCTTTTGTTACTGTACAATGTACTTATGACAGTTGCTATCAGTGAGTTTATTGATTTTCACTGCAATTATTAAGGACAATAATTTTTCTGGTTGTTTATTTCCTATCTCTGTCTTTTTCTTACCATACTGAATATCTTTTCCTTTTGCCATATTCCATACAGCAATGTAGGAGAGACCTTGCAATGCTGTGTGGTAAAACCATCATTAGCCTATTTTACAAAGATTTGTAATCTTTGTAAAATAGTAAGGCCAATCATGGTTCTTTTCTTGAGAAAGTTCATACCTATATATTCTTAAGTGATGAATCAAATGTTCCTTCTTTTTTGGGCAGAGAAACTGTAGCACTGCTCACTAATTTTGGCATAGCCTCATTTTCCTTCCACTGATGAGTCAACCATAATTTATTTCATCTGCCATTTAAAATTATCAGATTTGAGCTAAAATTCTCATACATATATAAAAATATTAATCTCAATATCAGGTGTGGTAGCTGATGAATACGTAGTTTGAGTATATGTCTCTTTAATCCGAATCAGTAAAGCATGGTAGACTTTCTCTCAGCTATCTGTTGAGAGAAAGTCTACCGTGTTTTACTGATTAGGATTAAAGAGACATATACTAAAAAAAAAAAATATTAATCTTGGTTCTTTCCCAATTGAAGGAATCTGAGAAATTTGTTCTAGTTTGTTTCAGTTGTTCATAATAAAATTCATAGAATATCTTCTATGTATATATTGGTGTTAGACTCATTAAATAAAGTGTTTATTTGATAATATCAATTTTTTTAAATGCTTACAAAAGGGAAACGTGGCCTGTCCACTGACAGAACATACAAAATGCTGATGGTTCGCAGCTATGTAAACAACATATAACATTTTGTGAATTAGTGAATTTTCTTTAGCAATAATTTCAATTCCAAATTGAATAAAAAAGTTTGTCAGATATTTACTATAAATCTTCAAATATTGTCTGGAATATTAACAATAGAGAAAAGAGATGATATTAAAAGTATTTACAATTTTGACAAGAACATTGTGACTATTTTATTTAATTTTTTTATAATATGGACAATAATTTAATTTATACAGTTATAAAAACATATAATAATAATCATTTATATTTTAATAGGATTTTTCTCCTTACCAAGAGACTGTTATATCGTTACCAGTGTACTTTACTCAGGAAAGAGAACGAATTGTAACTTGTTTAGATGTTCCTTGTGGAAATTCAAAAGATCATTGGTTGCAATGTGGTGCTGCATTTTTATTAAAAAGTTCCTAAATAAACTATTTTTAAAATCACAAATTATATAATTTTGTAGAAATTGGATTACACAACTGTAACATAGTTAAAATAGAATTAATATGTAACTCAAATAAAATATGCAATAAATTTATTTATTATTGTATATTGTTTATTCACATTTATAAACATGATACAAATAAAATATCTTCATATAAATTTGATTTTTCAATTTAACTTTGTTATAAAAAAATAATTGCATTAAGTATCATTATTATAATTTTTTAAAAACTAAATAGAAAAATAACGTTACAATAATTAACTAGCTTAACCGTCGCGCATTGCTGTGATCTCAGAAGAAACGAAATTCAAGCAAACTCGTTATGATAAAATTAAATTTACATTTTATCATTTTTATTGAAACTTATTATTATTATTCATTTTCATCTGGAAAACATTTCAAAGTGTCGTTTCAATTCTATTTATTTATTGGAGTGCTTGTGGATACACGATATTTTTTGTTTTTCCGTCTGGTGCGTACACGAATAAATCAGGTTTTCCGACGCGTAAGCTGGCCACATACAGTTGTCCATGCGAGAAGCACGGATTCTTTAAATTTAGCCCACACAATTGCAGCGATTGTCAGAAGTACGATATTCCCTATTTTTATATATATTTTTTTAATCCTTTACAATTTTAATTATTTAATTGCTCCTTCTTCTCTTCCTTGGCATGTTGTGAAATTTCTGATAGTTGGATAATAAACCGTTTTATTGTAATTTGTCTTTTTAAATTATTTTGAGTCGATATAAAAATTTGGAAAAGGGGGATCCCTAGATCGGTAAAATAGGCGAATTTCCTTCTACAACTTCGGTTGTTGTTCGGTATACAGTTAAGGTTTTAACGAAGTTCGAGCGAATACATAATTAGCAAAAAAAAGTTGAAATAAAGTGATTAAACAAAAATTATTACAAATATCGTAAATAATAAATGCATATATAGAGATATTTTTTAGAGGGGGAAAATAGTCTTCACAATTTGAAATCGATCGAACACACAGTGAAATGCTCGTATACACGCGCGCCATCTATCGTAGGATAAATGTACTATGCCAGAAACCTTCGCGGGAGTATATTTAACAACTTCCCAAAGTTTCATGGCAATCGGATAAACGGTGTGATAATGCATGAAGGACAGACACACAGACAGACAACATACATTCATTTTTATATATATAGACTAGCTGTTACCCGCGACTTCGCCCGCGGATGTTTTGCAAGCAAACCCCATTTACATTCAATATTTCAATAACCATAGTAATTGTTATGTAACACCTACCGCTGAGAATGAGAATTGCTGAGAATCAAACGAACTGTTTTCAATTTGATCAATTTTCTGGAACGTTTACAATCGTTCTATAATCGAACCAATATGCAATAACAAATTCGAATTTAAAACGGTTCAAACATTTGGTTAAAAAATCGAAATATATAAAAATATTTATAACAATGTTTGAAATGTTATCAATTTAATACACCTAAGTCCTTAATGAAGACTAAATGTTGTTTAAAACAAAAGATCGCATCTAAAATAATACAGTAGAAGCCGTTTTTCCGGTTAAGCCTTAATGCTCTCCCTCTCCCCCCGCTGGGGAATTTCGAAAAATCCCTTCTTACAAGTTAGTGTGCGTTTCCATGACGTACCCTAACTGTGTATCAAATTTCGGTCGTGGGTTCGCGCCTCGCTCGGACGGGCTGGCCACGTGGAGTTTTCTGGGTTTTCTCCACGTCTTTAAAGCCTAAATAGGGGCCAGTTTCCTTAAAAAGACCTCCCGGAAGACATCCCCCTAGGCCAGGGGTCGGCAACCTTTTGAGTCGGAAGAGCCAAAAATTACAATTTACAAAATTTCAAAGTTTTTAAAGAGCCACAAAATTTTTTCTTGCCAACAATAAATAGTACTCGCATAAATAAAGTTTTTGATAAAAAAAAACTAATCTATTTATTCAAAATTGTCTTGCGTCGAAAGCAAATTAAACCTCATAGAAACATCCGACGACGGCGTCATTCGAGAGCTTCCGACGGACTGACGACAGTGACGACGCGTGTCACGGGAGAGGGGTGCGATGAAAAGCGAGTACAAGTGGCTGAGAGATAGAATCGGTGCCGAATCCTCGTTAATCGATTCAGAACGATTTTTAAATGTTTTTTTCGATAAAATAAATAATATTTGCGTATGGAACTAAAGAGCCGCAGCTTCACATCCAAAGAGCCGCATGTGGCTCGCGAGCCGCAGGTTGCCGACCCCTGCCCTAGGCAGATCGTCCAAGTGTTGCGTTGCCATAACTTAACAAACAACATTTTCCTTTTTCTTTTTTACATTATTCGATTACAAAAATGTACAGTACTTTGCACCATTGCAAGTTAAATCTAAGATAACTTAGATAATTATTTTCGTCTAAATTCGATAATTTTTAACATAACTTGTATTGAAACAACATTACTTTAAATTGCCGTCCCAGCTAGCTTTTAATGCTTTCATTAGTCGCGGTTAAATATGTATAACATCATAACGCCAGTTATTAAAATCCGAAAAGCCAACAAATAATTTTCAACTTGAGCGTTCAAAAAATATCTAATTAGAAACTAATCGGACTTTAATTTATTAATATAATTTTAAATTATGTTAATAATAAAATATTAAGAATTTTAAATTTTACGATTAAATTTATTAACGTACTAGAGTTTAACAACCGATAGAGGGATTTCAAGCCGAAGTCATATGACATGTCGAAATCGGAAGTAGATGTTTATTAAACGAAGAAAATGTCTTCGGAAAAATTAGAGAATTTGCAAGAAGACTTAGTTTCAGCTTTAGAAAAGATATTTCAGAAATTGGAATATCTTCAGAAATCTGTAGGTGAATCGAAAAAGGTTCTTTTGAGAGAAGTGGAAAGAGAAATAGATGAAGCTGATTCCGTGCTGAAAGAAATACAGACAGAAAGTGACAGTGCTCCTATTTCTTACAGACAACAAGTTAATCATAGAATCAGACAATATAAAAGTGATCTAGAGCGAGCCAACAATAAATTGAACGTTTTGTCGAATAATTCGTCGCGTAAAGAATTATTTGGGCAAAGAGCGCAAGCTGCGGGACCTGCAGATTTTGGAGAGAGATCTAAAGTTTTGCAAATTAATGAAACGCTCACCAACACTAGCAGAGGAATAGAAAGAACTCATCAGATTGCGGCGGAAACTGATGCCGTTGGTGTTACCGTTATTAGCGAATTGGATACGCAGAGAGAAGCACTTCTACGCACGAGAGAAAGATTAGACGCCACGGATGTAAATATGTCGCGAAGTAGGAAAATCTTGAGATCTATGTATCGAAGAGTGATTACCGACAAACTTATCTTAATTGTCATCATATTGATTGAATTGGGAATTGTCGGTTTGCTTATTTATCTGAATGTGAAAAAACATACTAAAAAAAGTTCGTGAAAAGTGTTTCTATTCCAAGATAGATAATTTCAATACATTTCAAATTAATGAGAGTATAATAAAATATTTTCAATATCTAATGTACAAGGATATGATTTACAATTTATTTTAATAATGAAAAACTTGAAATAAAAATTATTTAATGATAAGACCTGAAAATATGTGATGATTTCAGATAATTTAATGAATTTTATTTGATACATCTTTTTGTATAAAATAATTACATTTATTATTGAGTACAAGTAGAAGATTACATACTTATTTATTTCATTAACTAAATGTCAAATGAAACAATTTGTTATAATTGGTATCTGCTTATATATAAATTTTACCACTAAATATTGAAATTATGAATTTTATTTGTAATTATTTTTTAATATTTTTTTACCTAAATTTCATTATATACAAAATGTTAAATAGTTATGCTTTAAGATTTCATAATGAAAGTCTTTTATTTAAAAATCTTAATCTATCTTGTATTTTAAATGATGAAATAATTTAAATTGTTGATAGAATAAAAAAGCATTTTTTTAAAGAAATAAAACTTGATAAATGTGTATGTATATCTACATACACAATTTTTTAAGGAAATGAAATAGGTAAAAAGATGAAAAATCAAATGATAACATTAAATATCAAGTAATTCCTTTAGTGTTGTGATAATGTTCATATTCTATAAACCAAATAGATCATATTTGGTTTTGCAGATTGAAATAGTGGTTAATTTTATGAAAAATTTTCTATTAGTATAGAAAAGAATTTTGTAATCTAGTTGGGCTGCAATTGAAAAAATTGCAGAGATATAAATTCCTACTGTTGTTTGTCTGTCTGTCCTTCCTTAATCTAGAGAATGGAGTTAGGTAGTTAGGAAAGTTGAGACCAGATATGGAAAGCTAGGGAAAGGAGGTCCAGATTTAACTATATATGAACTTCCAATTTGAAAATTTTCCCTTGAACAGAGTTAGATGATTGTCATAACTATTGCTAATAGGAAAACTATGATGTGCAGGAGCAAGACAACACTAAAAAAATGAGAACATTGTAATGAAAAATTGCAGACTGTGCATTGTGACTATTTTACAATAAATAATTGCTCATTATTTTTTGGATTTTCTCAAGAAATGTATTATTTGCAGACTCTGCATTTAACAACAAATTAAATATTAAAAGATATCATTTATAAAGAAACTATAACTGATAAAATCTTGAAAAACTATTGTGTTGTATATGTACTGTACATGCATATGTTAAACTTAAAACTATATTAACTAAATTGTAATAATACATGAGCTGAAAACATCTTCAAGTTTGTATGTGACACTTGACTTCATTCATTTACATATGTTTTTCATTTAAAACAAGTGCTTTTTTTCAAGGAATAAGTGTATATTTGCATTTTAAGTATTCAGAAGTTATAATTATTTGATGATTGTTTTTTATAAGTGAACTTACAAGGTTACAGTCTCGGAAATTCAGTTTGGGATGAGACTTCGCAGGTTAGTAGTATACCTCAAGGATGTCCACCCAGAAGAATTGTAAAGTGCACTAGCCAGAAGATTCGAGAAAAAGGACTCTAAAGTTTTAAGCACAGCTTGTATACTGGTCGATTTTATACTATTGTAACACAGCGAAATGGCTTAGTTTATAGCAAACTTGNTAGTAGTATACCTCAAGGATGTCCACCCAGAAGAATTGTAAAGTGCACTAGCCAGAAGATTCGAGAAAAAGGACTCTAAAGTTTTAAGCACAGCTTGTATACTGGTCGATTTTATACTATTGTAACACAGCGAAATGGCTTAGTTTATAGCAAACTTGTTTACAATGCAGGCGATCTATGTTCGATCCTAGCTTTGGCTAACTTTTTTTTTTTTTTTAAATTATAACAACTTTAAAAGTTAATGACCTAAAAACATTATGAATTAAATCATAAATAATTTTATTTTATTTATGAAATGACTGTTACAGCTAATTAAAATGTGAATTAAAGATAATATTTTATCAGCTGTATCAGTCATTTCATAAATAAAATGAAATTATTTATGATTTAATTGATAATATTTTTAGGTCATTAACTTTATTTAAAAGTTGTTATAATTTTTAAAACAAAAAATGAAAAAGGTTGGCCAAGACTAGGATTGAACATGGATTGCCCGCGTTGCAAGCAAGTTTGCTACAGAATCAGCCATTTCGCCGCACTGCCATAGTGTAAAATCAACCAGTATATGAGCTGCGATTAAAACTTTAGAGCCCTTTTTCTTGGAATCTTCTGGCTAGTGCAATTTACAATTCTTCTGGGTGGACACCCTTGAGGTATACTACTAATCTGCGAAGTCTCATCCCAAACTGAATTTCTGAGACGGTAAGGTCCCCTTGTTAGTGAAACTATTTTTTTAGACTGTAATTGTCATATTTTTATTTTTAGTTTTTTTTGTAATAATTAGCTTATTTCCAGAACTTTCTAATACTTTTCTTAAATAACTAAGTAATTTTCATTTTTGCTTTCTTTATTGAATAACATAAGCAAGTTGCATTCCAGAAATATTTGGTATTTTATCTTTTCCATATTTTTAAATGTCACTGCAAGTAGACTACTATTCTTTGACTTGAAAAGCATTTTATTTTAAAAAATTCTCCAATAGAATCTTTTCAAAACAAGAAATAATACATTCAATAAGAAAATGAGGATAAAATTTTATATTCAATAACTTTGTATAAATATTTTGTAAGAAATTTGAAAATATTTTATTTTAATCACAGATATATTTTGATTGATGAATCTTATTTTTCTTGTAATAACATTTATGTATTCAAATGTGTATTACTTGTTTCATATTAAATATAATGATATGTCAGTTACATCATATTATCCATTAATTAAAATATTTCTATCTATGCAATTTTGAATAGTTCATTTGTACATCAAATTATACCTAATTAAAAATATACATAAAGAATGAGTGAACTTCATTTATTCTAAAATACAGTAAAACAGCATTATCTGAATTCCTGCTATAACAAATGATATTTTAATACATGTTGTAACAGGAAGCATAATTTGGCCCTTCCAGAAAAATCTCAAAATTATAACACTAAGTAATTAAGTTAATTTGAATATAATGTGATATTAATGTGGTTTGAATATAATGTATTATGCTTAAAATTTTTATACGAAAGACATTTCTAATGTATTTTTAAAATTATGCATTTCTTGTATAACTAGCACTGTATTAGCCAGCCCCAGAGGTCATTAGCCTCTGGCATTTGTCAGAATTGTAAGGCATTGTAATATCCAAATCAAAGAATCTTGGTATTACAAATTTTCAATAAATATGCTTCTTGCGCTTTCAATTAGTTTATTTTACAATATTTGCACCAATACACACTATCATTCTTTAGGAGTTATCACTCACACAGTTTGCTATGAAGAGTTTATTACCCAATAATATATATATGCTTTCAAATTACATTTATGAAAAATTTGAAGTCATGCTAGTAAAAGTGGGAAGTAGGGTTCAACATGTTTCTGTTTTCTTCAGAAACTAAAATATACACACATTTCTAACATTGTGTGTATATTTTAGTATAATTGTGCAATTTAGTGATTTTTATCACAAAATTCAGTGCAATCTTATCAATTTATTCATGATAGTTTATTACAGTAGGTTTAGTATTTTGAACTAATTTGATTATTTTCATTTTTATTCTGCATTTATATAATAATATTTTGATATAAAATGTGCAGAATCATAACATTTCATTGCTGTTCACTGCACATTAAAGATAAAAAGAGTTCCTATACAACTTCTAATAAGGATACTATACAGAATTTAGTGTTACTGCTTACATATCCTTTAATAAATTCAATAAGTGTTTGTTACTAAGGTAATGAGAATTTATAATGTTAACATAATTAATAGATGATGAATTACTTTTTAAAGTTAAGGCCACCAAAAATAATCTGTTGTTCCAAGAAACTGTTATATTGCAAACAATGGATTTCCCACACATCCAGGGAAGTATCTTATTTAACTCCTTACATATAAGAGAGATCTGTACTTGAAATTATTCAATCTCTTGAGATCTCTATTCTTTATTCTATAAGAACATGTATGTAACAAGATCATACATTATACTGTGTGTACAATGAAGCTATATATCTGTAAGCACAAAAAAGAGGCAAATTACATAAGGTCATTAGCATTTGACTTTAAATTTGTTAAAAAAATTCAATCATGATTTGTTTAGATGACATTTTTCTGCCTATTGAATACAGCAACCACTTGATAAGAGCAATGTCATGTAGAGCCTGTTTGTCTATGCTGAAACTTGTCAGGAAGGTCTTTATAACTTGCAAATACTCAATGGCCTTCTAAATTCTGGCACTACACTTGGACTAATGTCAAAATGTTTACCAGATGGCTCCTCCTCAATCAGATCAGCCTGCTGACTTCATAATTTCTTCAAGTTTACATATAGCAGATGTAACAAGAGAATCAATGAACTCTACAAATTCCCAAAAACACCCAAATATTAACTAAACATTGAAAAAATGCACAGTTTACAATAGATGGGACTAGAAAGAAAAACTGTTATTCGAAGTAATGATTCCATTAAATGGAGGTAAAATTACATTGATTTGGCAGGCCTGGGAAAGAAATCTATTATTCTGAGAAATCTGTTAAAATGAGATTCTTATGTATTTACATTTAAAATTCCTTTAGCTAAAAGTTTTAATTGTCTATGAAATCCAACATCTAAAGGTTGGCATATAGATGTACACTTTGGGGGAATAATTAATATTTCGCATGAATTTTGATTTGTAGATGTTTGAAATACTGTATTAATATTTGTTTGTCCACTCCATGAGTCAATTATTAATTAATAGTTTTCTGTCATATTTGGAGATAATACATCTTTTACATAGTTTGTAATAATTGCTGTAGATAATTTGCCAGATGAGCTAGCTGTAACAGTTATGTTTGGGGCATTGAACAGCGATGTTTGAACTCTAGGTCCAAAGGTTCCATGAGCCTCTTCTAAGCAAATAAATGCATTACCTACAACTTGTCTGTTAGCATTAATTAAATGTTGAACGGTGTAGGAACGTGTAACTTTATTACTTGGAGAATGTGCAAATAATAAAGGAGAAAATAATATTTTTTTCTCCTTTATATGAAAGTGTTCTTGGTAAAATCATTTCATATGAAAAACCACACTGATCCATATTGAATATGAAGTTACGCGAATAAGATGGCAATAAATTTTTTACTGTTGTTTGA